GAAATCGAAAGAATAAGAAAATGAAATAAAAATGATAAATAGTGAGATCGATATATACTTCATAGTCATTAATTAAAGTGAGATTGTAGCTGGCCTACTGAATTAGCTGGTCCCGCAGATAGATAGATAGATAGATAGATAGATAGATAGATAGATAGATTGGTAGGTAGTTAGGTAGATAGACAGATAGGTAGATAGATAGATTACAACAAACCGTTAGATACACGCACACATATACATATATGTGTGTCAATGTGCCTAATGATCGAAAACTGCGTTTTTCATATCAATATCTTTCATTTGTAATGCATTTAATTCATTGTTAATCAAATACATTAAACAACTAAAATAAAATTCAGCTGATGACTATTAAAATGATACGATGATACGACTAAACAACTGGAATTAGCATTGTCTACATCCTGGTATTTTTGGGAAAGCTGACGGTGACGCCATGTATCGTCGCAGAGTTTATCCACAATTTTGACACCAATACACACCATCTTATTCGAAAATACATATGTATGTATATACATACATATATATATATATATATATGTGTGTGTGTGTGTGTGTGTGTGTGTGTGTGTGTGTGTGTGTGTGTGTGTGTGATCCTTTATTCGCTTCATCCATCGGCTTTGCCTAGGTGCCTGTCATATTCAGTAAGATTCCTATGTTGTGTAACGGGATCCTCTATTTGATTTGCTTTCACATAGATCTTATTCTGGTAGCACAGGCTTACCTCCACAAGGATGTGCAGGGCACATAGTCATCATTTCTTCCTTTTGGCATTGAGAAGGTGTCTATAAAGGACTGAACTCACACGACTTTTAGCAACCGTTTAAGATACTAAATTGTATGTCGTTTGACAGGCAACAATTAAAACGAAAACGAAAAAGAAAAAGAAATATTGAAAAGGAAGAAAAACTGGTTCAAATGAATCAATATATAATGCACGAACCAGTTTGAACCGGCATGAATGGGCTTTTCAGTCTGTTTTGAAAGTAAGCCTTGCCGTTCCGTCGAAGTGTTTCTGACGGTCGAATCTCACGCGCGAACCTCTGGCATACAGTCCCTTTTGCTATCATTCGTCAATTATAGTCAGCGCCAGCAAAAGTGACCTTTAAAATACATTGAAAGAAGCCAAGAATATGTGGATCACAGAGAAACAGCCTCCAGTAGAGTTGAATTGTAGAGGACAAATCTGTAAGGTCAATGATTTTCTATGACTCAAAAGGAATCGGTGAGCTCAAAAAGAATAAAAGCTTTCTTTTTTCAATCAGTTCTTTGCAAACACTAAACAGGTTTGTTTACTCATACGCAATGACAGTTGCCGTCAAATCACTTGTTTAATTACACACACGCACACACACATATGTATGTATATATATATATATATATATATATATATATATATATAAAACAGCAAAATTGTACAAATAGTGTAACAGCAAAATTGTTAAATCGTTATATTAAGTTTTGAACCGTTGTATCATAGAAATGATTAAAGATATCTTACTGGAATTCTTCGAGGTTTTATAACGCTATTGGACTCTACTTTGAGCAATAAGAATGCATAATTACTCTCTAAGCATAACAGAAGGATCGTAATGAAATCGGTCATAAACGAAAATGATATGTTCATCATTAATTAATCATAGCTAAGGATCGGAAGCTCATGAAGTATTGAAATAAAGTTCAAATATATATAAAAGATGTTCAATAACTTGGGCCAATTTTAAATGCGTATTAAGTTTAAGCGTCTAATGATATTTTTTTCTTTTTCTTTCAGATTTAACAACAAGTCTTTGGCAATTTCAACCATGGAACGATTAACAATCAAACAACGTGTTAACGTTTCAAGAATGCAATTGGAAAAAATGTTCTTAAGTTCAAACAAATTGGATCGAAAGCAGATGTGAAAATATCACTGCGTGCTCGTTTACGCCGTTCAGCTGAAAACATTGCTGCAGTGCACGAGAATGTGGCCGAAAATCAAGACATTCTATTCGTCATCGCGTGCAGGAATTGAACCCTCTACAACAACGTTACATCGAATTGTCTCTACACAGTTTACATAATACAATTGACACAAGAATTGAAGCCTGATGACCATTGATACAATTAATATGCAACAAGCCTACAACACTTAAAAAGCTGAAGGATGAGATAATAAGACATATTGGTGAGATCGATATTATTTTTCACACATAATTGCCATCATTTAATCCAATAAAGGAATACATTTTCACCAATAACACTGATTTAACACTGATTTATTTACTGCTGATTTTGATCCGTCTTAATGAAATACCCTTTTATATATATATATATATATATATATATATATATATATATATATGTGTGTGTGTGTGTGTGTGTGTGTGTGTGTGTGTGTGTGTGTGTGCAGTCTCATCTTGAGATCACTTCAAGAAGAAGATATGATGTGTGGAAAGGTGCTACGTTTTATCTCTTAAGGTGAATGCTAATTCACCTGAACAGGTAAAAAACTTATATATATATATATATATATATATATATATATATATATATATATATATATATATCAGAGCTGGCTGAAATTTTCACGAATTTTCATATGGCAAAAAACCACGAAAATATGTTGTTTATTTAAATTTTGGGAAGTGAGGCGTGCCAAGAACGTTTCACCATTCTCACACACACATACACACACACACACATATATATATATATATATATATATATATATATATATATATATATATATATATATATATATATATATCGGTGGTGGATGTGCATTTTATGGACTTTTATCAGTGTCTGGTCAGATTCTGTGTTTTCTATTGAGCATGTAAAATATATGTACGCCCACATCTGCCCACACACACACACACACACACACACACACATACATATATATATATATGTTGAATGCGTATGTTAAGTTGCATACATCATTCTCTCTCTTTCGTGTGGTTATGCATGGATGGATATCAGAAGGTAGCAAAAGTCTTTGGCCGTGTGGGATGGCGATAAGCATCCAATCGAAGAATGAAAAAAAAAACAAGACTATATAATCAACTTCAAAGTACAGCAATGAAACCAAATAAAATAAGTAAACGAATTGGTTCTAGACATAACACGCAAGCAGTTGTGGGGAAATGTTGTTTTACTCTGGATTATCTATTTTCTTTCATCCCTGTTTTTCGCCTCGAATGGTTGAGGATTTTATTGAAGTGCAGCTGTGGTCACTGGCAGAATATAATCAGCGTTTTGAGATCACTTTTTGACATCCGTTTTGATTACAAAATCGTGTTAGACTTTTACGAAGGTTTGTGTTAAGAGGTGACAATTTAACGTTGTTTAGGCCGCCAGATTAATCGGAGAAAAGCGACGTAATGTTTCAATGAATCTTGGTGCAATCGTGTGCAGTGAAGGGTTTATAAGGTAAAAGAAAGTACACTGCAGGCAGGATCAGGAAAAAAGAACGCTTCAAAGGACATCGGGGTATAAATAACTGGGAATATTTTACCAGAAATCACTTGAATTGTAAATTTTATGTTCTACTATGGCAATTTTAAAATTCTGCAGGGCCAGGCTATATGCTGATTGATACAATTAAATTATATATATATATATATATATATATATATATATATATAAAGTTAATAAATCCGTTGGTATATAATCCAAGTAGATCTTAGAAATATGAAATATAAAAACTAATCCACAAAAAGGGAGTAATGTATTTATTATAACAGAGTCAATAAACAGTAGTATACAATTCCAAATTACCTCATATCCTTTCATAATCCTTCAGGTAAATTTTTTGAAATATTATATATATATATATATATATATATATATATATATTATTTATTTATTTGTATATACTTATTATAAAATGCAACATAAGACATATATATATATATAAGTGAAATAGTTAAGAGGATTTGATAATTAAGTAATTCATCTAGTCTGAAAGAAACCCCAACAGAATGGCACGGATGAGCGATTCCAATATTTGGAACTCCTCAGCAGTGCGCATCCACTACCGAGAATTGAAACCCTGACAGTTATGTTAACATGCAAAGGTCATACCAACTGTTCTAACGGGCCTCGGCGACGAAGAGGTTGCAAATCAGACTCAATGTAGCCCCGCTCGCTCACATATTCCGTGGTTGAACTCTGCTGAGTTTCTCTCTAACCATAGGACTGTGCCCCCACTGGAGCCACGACTACTATCACCAAGCCGCTCAAACTTGAGCATTAGAAGCCGGTTCAAGCAATGATATACAAATGATAGAAATTATTAGGAGGATTTGATAATTATAATTAAGTAATTTATTGAGTCTTAATTATAATTATCAAATCCTAATTATCAAAATAACCCCAAATATACTAATTTTAGAAGCCCTATTTGTTAACCCCTCAAAATGTGCAACACCCACTATATATATATAAATATATGAATGACTCATAAATAAATCCATAGACTGTAGCTGAATTTTTATCTGAAATTTTTGTTGTATAAATTTCTAAGTGATTAATATTCACCCCTGATCGAGGTGGACTGACACGTAAGAAAATTATGTTGAAAAATAAATATTTCTTGTCCAAAATAAATGTTTCGATGAAGCTATTTACAGATAATGGTTGCCAACGCTGGTCGGTAAATACGAGGAAGCGCTAAAAACTTTTCGCCCCTTCTCAAAAAAGATTTAATATTAAGTCATTTTGTCAGATTTCTGGAAGTGGGTTGGGCTGCGAAGTTTTCCTTTATTTTTGGGTCCGTAAAAGATTTCATTATAATTGTTAAAGTCTTAAAACAAAATCATATTTTGTCCGACTCTAGATCGTGGTTTATTTCGAAATGTGTCTTTCACGAAACTCAAAAAAAAAAAAAAAAAAAAAAAAGGACGAAACGAAATAGAACAAATAAAGTACGTGTTTAGAAAAGCCAAGCAAAAAGAGTTGAAGAAAAGGCAGATATCGAAAAAAGCCGACAGAAAATGTCAGCGGAAGTAGTGGATTGGAAGATAAATGGACGATCGAAAAAGCCCGTGTCCGTAGGAGTGTTGACCGGACTTTTGAAAAAAGGTAGAAAACAGATATCTAAAACAATCAGACGGGCAAAGAAAGAAAGAAAGAAAGAAAGAAAGAAAGAAAGAAAGAAAGAAAGAAAGAAAGAAAGAAGAGATAAAAAAGATTAAAGAATCGTTTGAAGAACGTAAGTAAAATATATATAGAAAAAAACAAAGAAATGGAGAATATGGTACAAAGAAAAACACTACATGAGAAAGAAAAAGAGAAAGAACAAGAGGTTCACTGTATGAAAGAAGAGGAAAAGAAATATGAAAACAAAGAAATAATATCGTATAAAGTAAAAGAATGAAAATAAAAAATAAATTCAGAATAAGGTAAAAGAGAAAGTATATAGAAGAAAGAAAGAAGTCTATGTAAAATGAAAGAATATCATAAGAAAGAAATATATATCTAAAGAAATAGAGAATATAATAAAAAAGAAAGAAAGAAAATAGAATGGTTTACAAAATTAAAGAAGAAGATAAATATAAATAGAAAGAAAGAATACGATTAAAAAAATTAGGAATAAGGTAAAAAAGGAAAGAGAAAAATATAGAAGAAAAGAAAAAAGGAAAGAAAAAGGAAAGAAAAAAATAAAGAAAATATAGAAGAAAAAAGAAAAAAAAAGGAAAAAAAAAATAGAAGAAAAAAAAAAGGAAAAGAAAAATATAGAAGAAAAGAAAAAAGGAAAGAAAAAAATAGAAGAAAAGAAAAGAAAAAAAAAGGAAAAGAAAAAAAAATATAGAAGAAAAGAAAAAAGGAAAAAATATAGAAGAAAAGAAAAAAGGAAAGAAAAATATAGAAGAAAAGAAAAAAAGGAAAGAAAAAATATAGAAGAAAAGAAAAAAAGGAAAGAGAAAAATATAGAAGAAAAGAAAAAAAAGGAAAGAAAAAATATAGAAGAAAAGAAAAAAAGGAAAGAAAAAAATATAGAAGAAAAGAAAAAAAAGGAAAGAAGTGTTTCTACACTGAAAAAGAATAGTGTGCGTTTATTCAATAAATAATAATCATTTATTCAATCTTTGAGGGTAGATTACTGTCGTTATCCTGTCATTGTATCGGGATGTCGTGGAATCTCTCGTCTTGTTCTTTTTTGATACTCCCTTGTTTCCATTGTGTCTAAGTAGGCATTACTCGGCCCAGGAACTTAACCCACAATTACATTGTCACCAAACCCAGAAGCAACCGTTTTGATCCACTAGGCTATTACTATTGCGGACCTAACAGTCGAAACGTTGTTATAATAACAACAAAAATAAGGAAAATAATCCGAATGTAAAAAAAAAAAAATCTATAGGAAAGAATGGTTTCTGAAACAGTTTCCAACCAAGGTTACTTGGTCAGTGTTCGAACTTGGTTAAAAGCAAAGTTGTAAGGTCGACACAATAATGATTTCTTTCCCACTATTTGGCCTTGTGCTGCCACTAAGTGAGAGAAAGTTAATATGCAAGAAAATACAAAAAAATAACAACAAAAAACCTCTGCTACATAAAAAAATAGACAGATCACGACTGTGGTGCCATGAAGTTACACTTGAAAGCGGCTCAAAGCGAAGATGAAAGAAGTCGGATAAAGAAAAGAAAATACCCAAAAACTGATATTGAAAACATGATTAAAGGAAAGATCGTTCTCCTCAGAAGGAAAAATTGGAAGAATTGTTGATGGGAGGAAAACAGAAAAAAAGAAGCACAAGAAAAGAAGAAAGACAACTAAAACGTGTAAAAAAAAAACAAAAAAAACAAATCAAAACAGGAAAAACAAACAAATGAGAAAGAAAACAAAAGTTCATACTTTTGTATTCTCCTGTTTAAATACATCTGTTTCTAATATGCAAAAGGAAGCTCGCATAGGCGTAGTGGTTAGAAAGGTAGTATTGAAAAACATTATCAATGTCATGATGCTCAAAACCTTTGTTCCCATACCAGACTAACCTAAACAGAACCCCTGCACTGGGGAAATGGTTGCTACCAAAGATTATTATTAAAGCCATGGTCTACAACGCCCATGTCATTGTGTCAAACTAGGCTAGGTCTTAGTGTAATGGTTAACAAGCTGATCTCGGAGGCCGTTAATACTGCAGTATTTCGATTCTCGTCAGAATCCTAATATTGTAAGCTTGTGCGAAACTAAATAAGAAACCTTGCTTTCTCATCTAGACTATCATTATTATTTCAATCTGTGTGATATTCATTATGTAAAATATCTTTGTGTCTTTGTTCCAGCTTAACTGCCAGACTATGAGAACATGGATAGCTACTAAAATTCTTCGAAGCTTCACAGCGAGAGGCGAACAGGATTAAAATATAGAAATGTCCAGTTTTAATGTACAGGGTGGACCAAAAGCTTTATCACCTCCTACCACTCTTCCAAACTGTAGGAGGTTGTGTCAGCCATCTGAACTAAAAAAATTATATTATGTATGGAATGACAAGACTTTCGGACCACACTGTACAGAAGAGCAGAAAAAAGAGAAAGCTTGATCGCATTTAATACTTGATGAAATTAAATATGGAAATAAAACTAATTAATAAAGTTAATTAATTACAAGCGATTAGATTCGTTGAGGGGTCCTTACAGAATCGAACATGGATACTAACTCGCAGATAACTCAATAACTTATTATAATGTATTGCTGATATTTATTTAAAAGTATTGCTGATGATAAATTTTCCTTCAAAACTTAATGCTGGTAATAATTTTTTCATTACAAAATATTTCTGGTATTAAAACCTATTTTTACACAAGTTTGGACGTTAAATATTTGCCCATAGCTGGGACCCTAACAGGTGCTACTACCACGAGTCAGAGTACACCTGGGAAAACTAGCAATTAAGAGGTGGTTCCACGCTTCTCAAATCCTCCTGATCGAAGGCCTTGCTGTTGGACGTAGTTGATCGTCTTACCCAGGATGCGGATGTAGTCTATCGTCATACCCAGGACGACGTACGTGGAGGGGTCTCCTGTCCAGGACGTCGACAAACCAGTGATTGGATCAACTTGATCCTAGCAATAAAGTTACATTTAGTAACTGAAACAATGAGCCCCGTTCTAAGCATAGTAAGTAAAATCATTCATTCAAGTTAGTAAAATCATTCATTTTCACAAAAATGCACACACACACAAACTCTCTCGCTATATAAATCTTGTGGCGACAAGAAAATCTGTCCGAAATCTCCTTTACCAGTTTGTGGTGGTTGATCGAGCTGCGATGGTTGTCTTTTTAGGGAATCTTTTTATCACATTCGTGACACATTTTTCTTTAGTTGACTAGACATCAGCTTGACGAACTGTTAGGTCTCTGGAAATCGATAGTTTTATGCGTGTGCACGCGCAGACACCTCTATCCCAAAGCACACACACACACACACACACACACACACACACACACACACACGCAGAGACAATTAGTCCGAATTTGAGGGTTTCGTGATCTGTGTTGGGTAATCTTTTGTTAGATATACTCATAGAATCACAAAATCGAAAATTCCTCAATATATATATATATATATATATATATACCGGGTGTAACTGCAAAATTGTCCAAATCGTGTAACAGCAATTGTCTATTCCACAAGATGTTTAGTATCTAAAAAAAACACTAAACTAAATGAGTTTCTTTTTTCCAAGTTTTCTGTTGTAAGAATCATTGAAACAACCTTTGAGTTATTCAGCTAGGATGCTAACAGGTTAAAATCATTTTGTATCAGCTACACTATGTCTTCCCAACTGAGCAATGGTGAGAGGAAAAAGATAATTCAGGCCTTCAGCAACGGTATCAGCATGCAGACTCTGGCTTCCATCTTCAATGTCCATTCAAGAACCGTCAAGAGTATGGTAAATAACTTTTAAAAAAAGGAAAAAGTAAAGAGGAAAATTGGTTCAGGAGGTCACAACAGCAAGAGGGATCATTATTTCAACTTAGAGGTAAATACATTTTTTATTGTTCAAAGTAGAATCCACTAGTGTTATAAAAACCTCGAAGAATTCCACTAAGATATCTTTAATCATTTCTAAGACACAACGGTTCGAAGCTTAATTTAAGGATTAGACAATTTTGCTGTTATACGTCGTATATATAATTGTGTGTTTGGGCAACAATCTCTCTTTTATAGAAGTTTCATTTTATTTAATTTGTCTTGTGTACATATAAACGTTTTCTTTTCTAAACATAATGTGTAAAAATTTTCTAAACTTTTTTTTATATCCGAGCGCTTTCGGCTATTCTTTTATCCATTATCGAAGATAAGTTTTTTTACTGAATGCATGGATTTTTTTTAATGTATGTATCGAAAGTTATAGAAATGTTTGATTTTCCAAGCACGGTCAGCATATTGCGGCCATGTTATATATATATATATATATATATATATATATATATATATATATATATATATATATATATATATATATTGGTGTAAGGGATAGCGACTCGGTTTAAGGACTCGAATTCCAGTCGAGTTCATGACATTATTCCCTTACACGCTAATACCACTAGGAAAGGTATGAATCCATTTCTTCCCCTCCCCAGCTATGAGTAGATAGCAGCAGAGACTGGGTTCTATAGCCTTGGTTGGCAACCGGCTTAGGAAGACTACTCTGAATTCAAAACCATGTCGTCCTGTGGCACGCTGTGCACAGTTTTCTAAAGTGTGGTCAGTTCTGTAAAATCATTCATGTCTGTAATTAAATCATATGTGCGGCTCTTCTGGCTGTTTTATCCTAAGAACTGAACTAAGGACCCTCTACGTCGAAAAAACGACGACAGGGCCTTCATATATATATATATATATATATATATATATATATATATATATATATATATATATATATATGCGTACTGCTGATGAGTCCCAAATATAGGACGAAACGGCCGTCCAGTGCTTTCTGCATTCTGCTCAGTTTTCTATCAGACTCAATGAATTAATTAAATATAATTATCAAATCCTCCTAATAATTTCCATCTATGTATATCATTGCTTGAACCGGCTTCTAATGCTCTAGAGTGAGCGGCTTGGTGAGAGTAGTTGTGGCTCCAGGGGCACAGTCCTATGGTTACAGAGAACTCAGTCGAGTTCCACCACGGAATATATGAGTGAGCGGCGCTATATTGAGTCTGATTTGCAATCTCTTCGTCACCGAGGCCCATTGGCACAGCTGGTATAATGTTTGCTTGACAACCTAATTTTCAGGGTTTCAATTCTCGGTAGTGGATGCGCACTGCTGATGAGTCCAAAATATAGGACGAAACGGCCGTCCACTGCTTTCTGTCAGAATTAATTAATTAAATATATATATATATATATAAATAAAACAATTACCTTCACAACGGAATAGATTATTTCAAGCAGTTACTCTACGGTTTTCGTCAGCCTCTAAGTACATTGCTCGGAGCACTTATTTATTTTTCAAAGCCAATCTATGGTAGGCGCATTTATAATTGGAGTGGTTCTGTGTTAGCGGTCCGGGTTTGGAGTTTATTTATGGTTAGAATTTTTGCTTGTAGTTTAACATCAATTCCTACTATATGGTGTTTCATGTAAAGGACCTGGAGTGTGTATTTTTCTGGGATTCACAGTAAATAATTTTTGTACCCCCAGGCGATGCGGGATTTAAGCTGAAGTCCTTTAAGGTTAATGTAAATTAGTTGAGTTATATATTTATAGATTGTGGGTAATACCAGAGCACTCAAAGGAATAACTCGTGTTATCCAAGCTGACGAAAGCCGTTGAAGAACGGTTTGAAATAGTTTATTCCGATGTTGAGGTAATTTTCTTCTTTTTTTTTTTTGCTGTAACAAATACATAATTATTGAAATTTTGTATCTACGTTCTTTTAATTTTTTTTTTTTTTGCTGTAAAAAATACATATGCTCTGTTGAAATAAAAACATCGAACTCTCTGTGGATCAGTTTTAATAATTAATATTGCTAGGATCCACCGGGATTATATAGGGACGGATGACAGCCGTATACAGAACAAAAGTTTTTGAAATACACTGTATCTGTAAGTACGTTGAAGTAATTTTTGTTTTTTTTTGTAAAAATACATATGGTTGTTGAAATAAAATCATCGAGCTCTCTGTGGATCAGTTTTAAAAATTAATGATTACTAGGATCCATGGGATTCTTATACCAATGGATCGATTACCTGTACTAGATATATATATATATATATATATATATATATATATATATATATATATTTTGTTAGCGCTTGAAATGAGCACTTTTGAAAGTTAGCATTCTGACGATGAAAACTGGCTTTTCGATTTGTCAAATTTTGTTTTTGTTTTTAAGCATTTCACCCCAGACAAGGCGGGAATGCAATATAGTTACTCATAAACCAGAGGATAAAATTAAGAGAAAAGACTGTGTATAGGGGGGGGATTGAGGAAAGGATTAAAGATAAATGAGGTTCAAGACAACAGAAGATGGCGATTATCGTTGCATTTAATTTTTTGAAGAATGTAATTATCAGGGAAGCAAATAAGAGGAAGGGAGTTCCAATGTCGGGAAGAGCGAGAAAAAAAACTACTGGAGTAGAAGTGGTGGTTATATTTAACTATTTGAACAGTAAAAGGGTGGGACCTAGATGCCAATCTAGTAGCACGCTTAAATTCATGTAGACGGGACACCAAGTAAAAAAGCTCCTCAGAGCAGTTTCCATGGAAATATTTGTAGAAAAGAAAGAGAGAAGCCACATCACATCGG